ATTAAGTGAAATAAGTAAGTTACACATGTGTCAATACCAAATAGTTTCTCTGATGTGAAAAACTATAATTGTAAATAATATCCTAATGGTATAATTGATAATGTGAAATAGGAAGAAAAGGGTTAAAGGTGCAGGGGAAGTGGGAAGGGTAGGGAAAAGAAAAAATACGAAAAAATGGAAATAAAGTTTTTGTAAATAGGGAAGGGAGGAGGGGGTTAAGGGAGGGCAGGGGTATAGGGAAAAAATGAGAACCAAGAACTGTCATGTAAAGGTACAAGATCCCAATGATGAATGTAACTGTACTGTATACCTAAAATGTACCAATAAACTCATGGAGGAAAAAAAAATGTCCAATAGTAGCAACAAAAACTGAAGAAAAAAATATATTGAGAAAAAAATGCTACATATATGAAGATACAGACAATAGACTAAACATTAGACTTTTAAAAAAGAAACAATGACAGAAAATATTCTGTACTAGACTGGTGCAACCACTGTGACAATCAATATGGAGATACTTCAAAAAACTAGGATTAGATGTTCCATTTGACCCAGATATCCCTCTTCTGGGTATGTTCCCAAAAGGATTAAAAGAACTGCACCACAGTGATATATGCTCACACATATAGTGGCACAGTTTGTAATAGCTAAAACTTGGAAACAGCCCAATTGCCCATCAGCTGGAGAATGGATAAAGAAGATGTGTACTTTTTTTTATTAAATGGAGTACTACTCAGTCATAAAGAATGAGAAACTGGAGTCATTTATAGCTACATGGATGCATTCTGAGGCCATACTCTTAAGTGAAATAACACATGTGTATAAATACCAAGTCATTTCTCTGGTGTGAGAAACTGAAAGTAAAAATAAGAATAAAAGTGTATAATAAATTATGTGAAACAGTAAGAAAAGGTCTAAAGGACAGAGGAAGTGGAAGGAGTAAGGGAAAGGAAGGAAGGGAGAGGAAAAAATATGAGAAAAGGAAAAAATGGAAACAAAGTCTTTGTAAATAGGGACATGTAGAAGGGTTGAAAGGAGGGCAGGAGAATAAGGAAAAAAATAAGAACCAAGATATATTATGTGAAAGTACAAATTTCCAGTGGTGAATGTCATCATATCGAATACCTAAAATAAACCAATAAACTTAATGAAAAAAAGAAAAGAAAATATCCTGCACTAAGTATAATGGTGTCTACCATGGTTGGGTACTGGATGCTGTTAAACCCTTTTTCTCTGTCTAGTCATGTGATAATGCAGTTTCTCTTCTGTAGACTGATTATGTGATTGATCAGAACTGATTTCAGGATTTTAAAAAAATGTTTTTTTAAAAAAATTTCAGAATGTTAAACTAGCATGGCAAAACTGCAATCATTCCCACTTGTTCATGATTTTTAATTCTTTTTATAATTGTTAGATTCAATTTCTAAGATTTTGTTGAAGATTTTTATACCTGTGTTCATAAAAGATTCTGGTTTATAGTTATCTTTATTTCTAATGTCTCTGGTTGGCTATTAAAGTAATGCTGGACTCAAAAGAATGAGTTAGGCAGTAGCCCCCGCTGTTCATAAGTTCTAAAACAATGCAGAGAATTGGCATTAGTACTTTTTAATGATCTATAGAAATTACCAGTGAATAGATCTAGGCCTGGTAGTACTTACTATTTTGGAAAGTTATTAATTATTGATGAGAAAATTTAACAAGCCTATTCAGACTGCCTATTTCTTCCACTATGATTTTGGCAGATTGTTTATTATAAGTAGCTGATCTATTTCATCTAGGTTATCAAATCAGTGGGCAGAGTTACTCATAATTTTGCTTTATTATACTGTGGATATCCATGAGATCTGTATAGCACTCTTTTTTTCTGATATTAGTCAAAGCATGAGATTACGAGCTTTTGATTTTCTCTATTGATTTCATGATTTTGAGTTTTACTGAAAATCAGATTTCTACCAATTTTTAGTATTTATTTTTTTCTGATTAGTTTGGATTAATTTACTCTTTTTCTAGTTTCCTAAGGTGATAGCTTACATGATTCATTTTAGGCCTTTCTTCATTACAAATACATACATTTAATGTTATCAATTTTCCTCTTAAGCATTATTTCACTGTATGCCACAGATTTGGTTAAAGATTACTTTCATTTTCATTTAGCTCAAACCATTTTAAAATTTCTCTTCATATGTTATTTTTGAACCATGTGTTATTTGAACTGTATCATTTAATCTTCAAGCGTTTGGGGATTTTCCAAATATCTTTCTGTTACTGATTTCTAGTGCAATTCCATTATGGTCTCAAAGCAGTCATGGCATGATTTCTAGTCTTTCAAATTTGTTAAGGTGTCTTTTACGGCCCAGAATGTAGTCTACCTTTGTGAGTGTTCTCTGTGAGCTTTCAGAGAATGTGTAATCTGCTGTCATTGGGTGAGTTATCAACATTTATCAGACAGTTGATCCTTTCTTTAATGACTTGAAATTCCACCTTGATCACTATACCAGTAATCTGTTGCTGTGAAACAAACTACATGAGTGCCTTAAAACAAAAACTGTGTATTTTCTCCCTGCAGTTTAATCTGGGGCTTAGTGAGACAATTTTTCTCACCTAAAGTAACCTATGTGGCAGGTGCGGTCACTTGGAAGATGGGCTGAGTGATGCCTGATCCTGGACAGCCTCATTCCTTTGCATGGGATACTCAGCAAGGACAGGCAGGACAACTGACCTGTCACTCCATATGACCTCTTATCCACATGGAGGTTGATCAGACTTACTGACATGGGAGTCACAGAAGAACAAGTAAGTTAGGGTGAAAACAGAAGTAGTAAGACTTGTGAGACTAAGGCAAGGAAATCAAGTATCACTTCTTCAGTGTTCTTCAACAAGTCACAGGGTCAGAAGTTTCAAGAAGGGAAAAAAAGAGCTATGTGTGGTGGCACATGTCTGTTATCTCAGTACTTGGGAGGCTGAGGGAGGAAGATCGCTGTGAGTTCAAGACTAGCCTGGGCTACATAATGAGTTCAAGGGCAACCTGAGCTACATAGATCCTATCTAAACAAAACAAAACAAAACAGGATAAAGAATCCATTCCTCTTTTTTTGTTTGTTTGTTTTGTTTTGTTTTGTTTTGGTACCAGGGATTGAACTCGGGTTCTAGCATTTGTGAGGCAGGCAGTGGAACCACTGAGCTAAATCCCCGCAAAGGAATCCATTCCTTGATGAGAGAAATGGCATGCCCCCATGAATGGCTCAACAATCTCTGGCCTCAACAATTTCTGGCCATCTTTGCAAACACTGTACAGCCATATACTAAATTTCCTCATGCATGTAGATCTGTTTATAGACTTTTAAAAAATATCATCCAAACACTTGTATTTTTATTCACAGGCAAATGCATCCTTAAACTATTATTAAATATCTATTACCTCAGTTTCCCATTATTCTTTTAAATATTTTTCTAGAAATTCTCACATTTTAACATGCTCTTTAGGACGATTCCAGCTCCATGAAAAAAAATAAAAGAAAAAGATAGCTATGTTAGAGATTACATTTGTAGGAATATTAATAAAGAGATTAATGTCCTGTGTCTTATATACAAGAGTATAATTTATCTATTTATACAAGCTTTCTTTTATATCCCTGAAGCATTTTTACAGTTTTCTTTTTACAGATTCCTTAACATTTCTTCGGTTTATTCTTAATTTTTCCACTATTATATATGATACTTATATTTTCTTGCTGGTTATCCCAAAGAAAAGCTGCTACATTTTATATCTTGGATGTCCTATTACATTCAAGTTGCTTTCAGTTTTCCTAATTAACTTCATAAGATTTAGGAATGATTCAGCTCACATAGAGTCTGATATAAGGTCAATGGTCTCTAAATTTTACTAATTGTTAATACTATCATATTAATCTGGTAATCAGCCATCGAAGTTGATTTTTATTATTGTTTCTGCTAGTAGTTTTTTATTTGATTTTCTAAGATTCAATATACACATAATCACAAAAATGATCATTTTGTTACTTCCTTTTATATTTAGCATGCTAATAATTCCAAAACAATAATAAATGAAAGTAGTACACATCTACTTATGTATATCCTATTTCTGATAGGTAAGAGTATTTCTACTGTAATGTAAATAATGGCTATATTAACAGTCTGTAGCATATCCACACCAACAAATGGCTATACATATTCTTCAATTTGGAGTATTTTTTTCATTAAAACACATTAAAAATAACAGTCATCTTCATAAATAAATATCTGGGCATGTTTTATATCACTAAGTAGCCTAGAAACCAAAGTGGACTTTCTCTGTGGCTAATACACATTACTTTTCAACAACGCTATGCTGATCTGTCCTCCCATCAATAGTGTATGTGGCCATTTTTCTTACTGTACCTTTGTCAGCAGTATTTTTGAGAGGCAAAAATGAAGACTTTTTTCTTTCTTAGCTACTGTTTAATTATACTTATGCCTTAATGGAAAAGTCTAAAAATTTTAGTTTCATCTAAAATCTCTACTCTTAGCTAATCTCTTATCAGAATTAGAGAATTCTATTTTCCTTAAGGAATGGCCCTAGAAATAATCCTTAGAGATATTCCCAGAAGAATCACCAGCACAGCCTTATCTTCTAGAATCCGACCTGTGAGCACAGAATTTCTAAACCTCAGCACTACTGACATTTCAGCTGAGATCATTCTTTGCTGTGAGGGGCTATCTTGTACACTGGAGAATGATTAGCAGGGTCCCCAGCCTCTATCTACTTCATGTGAGTAGTGCTTTCTCCCCAACTTGTGCTAATGAGAACTGTGCCCAGGTGCCAAAGAGACCCTGGCAAAATCATCTCTAGTAGAATACCACTGTGTTAAGGGAATGACGTTCTATGGGTCAGAAACTAAGCTCGTGACTACAGGCATGTTTTGACAGGTCAGATACAATTTTATTATAGGGATTAACCAAAGAAAAGCAGAATGAACTAAAATGTGGGACAGAATACTCACTTTGCTTTATAAGGTGAATCAGAGCCAGAATTTTTTGTTTCCATTAAACTCTCATACTCCTTCGCCCTAAAGATAAAAAGGTTTTATCATTGTCAGTTATTTTGTTGCTAATTTTTATAATCTTATACCAACCCCAAGCCTTATCTGTGTCTTTCCTTTCATAAAGTCATACAGCTAGGGTTACAAATTAATTACATTAATTTTAATATTCTGATTTTTGAATTGCTTTAGATTATCATTATTACAAAAGACTAAAGATTACATATTTCCTCATAAGATATAGAACAGACTCATAAAAACACTTCTGAGTTTATATATTAGATTCAAAATGTTTTTTTCAGAAATGTAAGAATCATCATAATTAAATTTGAAAGTCTATTAGATTTCTACAAAGCAGAATTGGCTAGCTACGCAAGTACCTCAAGAGATTTATAATGCAAAAAATAAGTACAAGTAAAGAATAGTCATTTAACTTTAGAAATCATTTAAAAGACCACGGAAATAAATTGACCAGATCCTCAAAGATGTGTTTTATACCAAGCACCACAGATTTTGAAAAGATAACCCTTTCTTGCTGCTAACAAGGTTCTAGCTTGTCTAAACCAGAGGTGATAGTCCTCAACAGATGATGAATTTAAGACAAAGCTCACAACAGCAATCCATTAATACTGACTTGTTTTTCTATCTTTTTGGAGAAAAAAAAGAGGAAAATATTAAATGTTAACTGCTCATCCAAAGGATCCTTGTTTCTAAGTCCAGTGGTCTATGAAAAAATCACAACACAGACCAATCTAAACAGCAACTTACAGATGGAAAAAAAAACCAAAAACAAACTCTGTTTCATAAAAAAATGTGAAAATGCAAATTATAACATTCTTAATAAAGAAAATAAAATGGCAGAGTTACTTTTGGAAAAAAAGAAAATGCAAATTGGAATAAAATTACATTATATATTGTCTCAACCAAAGAATACTACTGCCAAAATATTAAGGTGTATCAACATGGGTAAATAACTACTTGGAAGCTGAACACAACTGTAACCTTATCAGAAAGGTGGAAAAAACTAAGCATTATTCAGGGTTAAATATGTTCCAAGTTTTGTGCCAGATACTGAACATTCATTAATTTATTTATACACAAACTCTTGATATGGTATTATCCCCATTTTTCAAAGAAAACACTGAGGCTTAGAAAGATGCCTGTTATACTAGACATATATTGAGCTAAGGCTTAAGGTGGAAGAACTAAATTCATTCTTTCATTCATGCACACATAACAAGAACTGTATCACTCACAAATTCTAATTTGACCCGAAACAATAGATTACTTTTTTGTAACTTGAGTCATGTCTTGATTCACTTTTAGAAATCAGTTAAAATCTTACTTCCATAGGTCCCACTGTGTGTAAATTAGATTATGGAGGATAGGAAGGGAGGAAGGGAGAGACAGAATATATTCAAGCAACTTAATTTCCAGAAAGGAAAAATGGAAAAAGACATAATAGCATTAAAAATACATAATTTCATACAGCAGAGTGATGATGAATATGGGTAGTTGCTGTTGTAAGAGCTGAGGTCGATCAAAATTAACACATTTTATCCATGAGAGACTACACAATTCCAAAATACTTACATTAGAGCAATTCTGACAACACAAATGATGTCTAGGTGACAGTACAGATTCCCATCATCTTGCCTTTAGTGTTGTTTTAGATTCTTGCTTAGAATTTGCATTTCTCTGCTTATATTGACCATATGTTCTTGCATGATGTTTACTTTAACCATAAGAACCCTAAATGTATTAGTTACAGTTACTTTGAATTCCCAATATAATTCTAATATCCTTGCCATAGTTGAAACTAGTTCTGATATTTGCTCTTTCTCTCCAAATTATGCTTTTGCTTTATAGTATGCCTTGTAATTTTTCTTGATAGACATAATGAGTTTTGTAAACAGAAGTACTTTAAGTAAGGCTTTAGTAAGGTAGTAAAGTGTGAGCACACAAAAAAAGTCTTCTGTAGTTCTATAATTATTTTTTAGCTTTTTTTTCTTTTAAAAAAAGTCTCACTAAATTGCCTAGGCTAGGCTTAAACTTGTAGTCCTCCTGAGTCAACCTCCTAGAGTGCTGGGATTATAGGTATAAACCACCATGCCCAGCTATGTCTCTGTCTTTTAGTGTATCTGTACCTCTGAAGTACGAACAAGAGTTTTCTACTCATCCTCTTCCACTTAGATGGGACAGGATAGTTAGAGTGAGGTGAAACTAGATATTACTTCTTTTGCTTCATGGAAAGGTACTACTTATCCAAAGCCATCATCAAGAAAATGTATAGTCAAGCTCCAGATGAAGAGACAACTGCGTGTGTGTGTGTGTGTGTGTGTGTGTGTGTGTGTGTATCTCACAGAATTTGTAATCAGAATATACAAACCACTCAAAAATAAAATAACAGGCCACTATTTAAAATGGGTAATATCTTCAAAAAGATACTTAATAAAGGAATATACTGAATGGATACAAAGCACACAGAAAGATGCTTGATATAGATGATTAATCAGCACAGAATCTCAACTGGAACCACAATGGGATACTACTACATTTCTACTAGAATTAGATAAAATTTAAAAACTAACGATACCAAGTACTGGCAGCAATTATGGAGCAATTAAAACTTGCACTGCTGCTGGGCGTGGTGGCATATGCCTGTAATCCCAGCACTCGGGAGGCTGAAGTAGGAGGATGGCTGTGAGTTCAAGACCAGCCCGGGCTACATAGTGAGTTCCAGGTCAGTCTCAACTACATAGTGAGACCCTTTCTCAAAAAATAAGAAACAGGGCCGGGGATTTAGCTCAGTGGTTCTGCTGCCTGCCTCACAAGTGCAAGACCTGAGTTCAATCCCCAGTAATAAAAAAATAATAATAACAAAAATAAATAAATAAATAAAACAAAACTTGCACTGCTGATGGGCATACAAAATGGTACAACTATTATATAAAACAGTTTGGCAATTAAGCTTTTAGGTATTTATCCAAGAGAAATGAAAACAAATGGTTCACCCAATGACTTGGTAGTTTTATTTTAAAACGATCCAAACTGGAACAGACCCAGGAAGGACCCAAGGACCCCAGAGGGGGTTTTTTTCAGCTGCCTGGCTGCCTGCATATCTGCGATCACCCGGCGGCGTGCGCGCGAGCTCCCGGCCTGCGCGGGAGCTCCCGGCCTGCGCGACAACAGACCCAGGAAGGACCCAAGGACCCCAGAGGGGGTTTTTTTCAGCTGCCTGCCTACCTGCCTGTCTG